AAAAGAAAATCACAAGTTCTGTAAAGACATTAAATAACACTTTACGATAAAGTTCTATACATTGACATCAATGCATTTAATAATCTTGGTTAATTTTGATTAAACTACATATATATTAATCCTTTTTCTTTTCGAGCTTTACAAATTTGCATTAAAGTATCATTACATTAAAAACCTACAATTAATCTTTATTAATAAATGCTGTAAAAAATCCTGTTCATTATTATATACCCAGTGCATAACTATGACCAATCAGAATCAAATATTTCAGACAGCCAGGTAATAAACTAAACTGAATTAAAAATTCAGTGCATTTGGTGCAAGAGTAACTCACTGTATCTGCATGGTTTGGAAGCCGTCAACAGGTTTGTGGTCTATACCGCCTATTTCTGCATTACACTCTAGACAGCGGGCAACCTCCATGGGCAGACCACACTGGACAGATGCATGAAGAGAATTCATTTTTAATTTGACAAAACTCATAACAATTTGATCATATTAATGCCGAATCATAGAAATTAAATGCCCCTACCATATCAACAATGCATGGATGACCATTAGGACAGGCTGTTAAAAACAAAAGAAGATGTTTAGAATTGATTTAAAAACAGGATGTAGAAATGTTCAAATACAGAACCACTTGTCAATGCCAAGGATCTGTCAAAATTCCACCCCCGTTGTTTCCCAAAGCAATTCTATCGGCTAAAATCAGTTTTAGGATATTTCGTATCTGATTATAAATCCTGCAAGTCTATATAACAGATAATCCTACAAACCTTATTGGTCTGTGTAATATTACCAAACAAAAATGCATCAGTCAAAAAGGTTTTATTTTTTTTAACTTCATTATTATTAATAGGTAACACTTTATTTTAAGGGTCTAGAATTATGCATTAGTTAAGCACGAACACACTAGTAATTAATGATTAACTTAACACTTAATAAGTGAATATTAGCCATTATTTACTATTTATAAAAAATTTGAAAGGTCCACATTCATGCAATAAATAAGCTAGTAATTAATGATTAACTGAAGGTAAATGCCTTTTAGGCATTATTTACAACGTAGAAAACCATAAATTATCTTTGTGTAGTAATGCACTTGTGTATATTTCAGTTGTTCACCATCTATTCACTTAACTGAACAATACTAAGCTAGTAATTATGTTTAATTAGTGCTGGTTTTACAGTTATAAATTGCTAAAACAGTGTAATAAAGACAATTTTGACCCCCTGTTTTCTTGTTCTATCCAGGCTGGACTATTGCAATGCTCTCTTGGCAGGTCTTGCAGCCACTTCTATCAAACCTCTACAATTAATCCAAAATGCCGCTGCAAAAATAATCTTTTATGAGTCGAAAAGAATACACGGCACACCTCTGTTTATCAATCTGCACTGGCTACCAGTAGCTGCTCGCATTAAATTCAAGGCATTAATATTTGCCTACAAAACCACCACTGGCTCTGCACCCATTTACCTAAATTCATTACTTCAGAGTTATGTGCCTCTAGAAGCTTGCGTTCTGCAAGTGAACAGCGCTTTATTGTTGATCTCAAAGAGGCACAAAATCACGTTCACAGACTTTTTCATTAACTGTTCCCTCCTGGTGGAATGAGCTGCCCAACTCAATCCCAGCAGCTGAGTCCTTAACCATCTTCAAGAAACGACTAAAAACACATCTGTTCCACCTTTATTTGACCCTCTAACTCTAGCACTCTCTATTCTAATTCTATTTTATCTGTGTTTTTTATTATTTTAAAAAACTTGCTTGATTTCTTTAAAAAAAAAGGCATCTAACACTAGCTTTCTATTTCTTTTCAATTATATCTATTTGTTTTATCTTTATTTATTATATTTAAAAAAAAAACGGTCACACTTTATATTAGGTGGCTTTAACTACTATGTAATTATATAAAAAATAAGTACAATGTACTTGTTCATATTATATTGTAAAACACTTCTGCTGCTATTGAGGTGGGATACGTGTGAGGTTAGGAACAGGTTTGGTGGTATGGGTAGGTGTAAAGGATGGGTCAACAGTGTAATTATAAATGTAATTACAGAAATTAATTACAAATGTAACTACATATAGGTACTTTTAAAAATCTAAGTACAATGTAAAAACATGTATGTACACAATAAGTGCATTGTATCAAATTATTAATTTAAATGTAAGTAAATAGTAGCTAAGGCCACCTAATACACCTGTTAGGCTAACCAAGACTTGTTTTAGCACTTGCATGTCATTTCTCTTTTGTTGATTTTGATTGCTTCTATTGTCCTCATTTGTAAGTCTCTTTGGTTATAAGCATCTGCTAAATGACTAAATGTAAATGTAAAACCAGCACTACTTAAACAGTTACTAGCTTCATATTGTTCAGTCAACTTAATAGATGGTAAATAACTGAAATATACGCAAGTGCATTATTACACAAAAATAATATATGGTTTGCCAAGTCGTAAATAATGGCTAAAAGTTGTTTACTGTACATTCAGTTAATCATTAATTGCTAGCTTAATTTTGCTTATTTATCGAATGAATAACTTACTATATGTTAAGTTATTCATTAATTACTACTGTGTTCATGCTTAAGCAATGCATAATTCTGGACCCTTAAAATAAAGTGTTACTTTATTAATATATGCACTTTGTCTTATATTCATTATCTTGCTCCACCTCTGAAATGACTTTCCTTTTTGCCTTAATTTTCCCAACTGAAAAGACACCCAAAATAACAGTAAAATGATTTATTTATTTACTCTTTGTAATACCCTGGGAAACCAGTTTGAATATATTATCCTACATTACCACAATTCCGATCATGAAGTTCTGCTTCTTGTGTTAAGTGATTTATTGTGGCCTTTCTGATCAGGCATTAACTACTGGGTCTCCAGGTGTATATCATTTTGACAAATCTTGAATTTTGCATGACACAGAATCCACTCACAATACCACTGGACTTTCAAGCCATGCGGGCCTTTTATGGCCTGCTGGGCAACAGCCAACATGTCGTCCGGCATAGTTGGAATGAATGAAGCCTGTAAGGAGAACATGACAGAAATATCACATAAACACTCTAGTCACAATGTGACTCCATGACGTCATATCATGAAGGGTTCATACCGTCATGTTGTTTGGGGACAGTGCCAGCTGCTGCAGGGGCTCCAGTAAAGGCAGATTTCCACACAAGAGAACTGCAGCCATGTGAACTGTAACCTCCACCAGAAGAAGCTCTCTGCCTGACATCTGAGGTTGCACACGCAGAGCATGCAGATGATTATTCACCAGTCCTTTAGCAAACGCCTTTGTTTCATCATTGACAAAGATGTCTGTGCTTCTGATAAAATCTTCCAGGCCAGCCCATTGCTATAAAAAAAAACAAAAAATGCATGAATATCAGACATAGGGATATACATTTATCAAAAAGGTGACATATTAACATAACTTTCAGTATCGATCATTAACAAACATCGTACAATGCGTGTTATTATGTTAATATATATTCAAATAGCATTTAGGGGATTGGTGGCTTGCTCTAGGGCACCTCAGTTGAAGGTGGAAATGATCAGGTAGTATAGGTAGGTTTAAGGGTTCGTTAATATTGAGTGTGATACAGGAAAGTTTAGGGCCAGGTTTGGTGGGATGGGTAACTTTATGAGTTGGTTAGGGGGCCAAAAGTACAAAAAAGACAATTTGACTACAATACGAGAACACTGTTCAAACTCTTTATATACATAAATGAAGTATTTTCTTGAAAAAACTGATTTGTTTTCTCCTGTTCTATGATTCAAAGAATACGCTGTTTAAGGATATAGCACACTAAGTGTTAAGGCAATAAAAAATATGTTTTGCAAATAACAATGTGTTGCGTCTTTAGCAAGCATTTAACTAAATTAACCATCCTTTACACAAACTTTTTACAACCATTAAGTCCAAGGCCTATAAAGGTCCTGAATCAATAGTAAACATTTATAAACATTTACAAATGATGAATATTCTCAACTTTAGGTTGAGTAGTGCAAAAACATGAACAAATGATTAATAAATGAACTGTACAAAAGTGTAAATAGGGTAAATTCAGGTCATTTGGAACACATTTTGCCATTGAGATGATTTTTTTACATTAATAATGATCTATTAAATATTTAATAAATCTATTTAAATATTTGTGTGCTGTGTTAACTAAAACAAAAATGTTTTGAAGTATATACAGTATTATTGATGTTCAGCCATGAAATGTAAGGGATCAAACCTTAATAAAGCTTTTGATGAAGCAATGAGTCTGAAATTATCACAGATCGGTTTAAAAAATAAACTCCACAAATTTTTTAAAAAAAATTTAGAAGTTTTTTAATCGTCTCGCTGTCCACGATGTCACACAGCCATGAACAGCACTTGGTCTGACATACCACATTTTACTCCAGCACCCATTATCCTGTCATTTAGAAATAATAGTATACATCTTGCTTTCTCCTTATTATGTCACTGTAATTCTGATCACCCAACATGCAATCTGTGAACCCAGCGTCATATGTGTATTAAATGCTTGTTGGAATAAAGAGGAAGTTTTGAGTTCCATTAATTACAGTATGTTTTCTTTGTAAATTAATGTCTTTTATTTGAAAATATCAAGGACATCCCTATTTGACATGAGCCCTTTAATCATGACCATTTTACTAGGAAGCCTGATGTAAACATTAAGTCATACTGTTCTTCCCAAACCATGTCACAGTACTTCAGATTCGTAAAGCACAAATGTTTTGTTGTGTAGCATATGTTTGTGTTTTTACCTCAGATTTAGGGTCCGAGTTGGGGTTTCCATTTCTGTACAGGAAGGTGACTTCTCTGAACAAAGCCATTAGCAGATAAACAGCTTTCTTCATGGGTGTGCTTTTGCAATGCTTCAAGCAAATATAAAAGCAAATAAACAATTTATCAGAGTGAGGAAGAGAAATGGCATTTAATTAATTTAAGCATTTTATTATAGTGTCCACACAGACACAATAGCGCTGTTCCAAAACCTAGTCTCGCTACAGTCTAATG